ATCATCCTCACCGGCCACACCTCGGGCTGCCCCGCACGGGAGGGGACGGCGGGTGGAGCCGCGGGCGAGGAGGGTGGAGGCGAGCCAGAGGTTGCGGAGGCAGGCGCGGGGCGTGGGAATCCGCGGAGAAAGAGTCACTGACACGAGCCAGGCTGGGAGAAGCTCGAGTTTTATTTCCGAGGAAGGCCCTAAAGCGCCGCCGCCGCCCCGCCCCGTGCTCGCCCCGCTGCTCTGAAGCGCGGCAGCCCCGCAGGGCCGGGAGCGCTCTGACCCGCTCGTCCCTGGGGTCTGAGGGGGTGCCTGTTATCCAGCCCTGGTATTTAGGGCACCGCCTGTACCCATCCCCGGGTTTGGGGGTCCCTGTTACTTCTCACTGGGGTTTGGAGGGTCCCCTTCGTTTCGTGGCCCTTCGACCTTTCGCCGTCCTGCCATTCCCGGCCAGGGGTTTTTTGGGGAGGAGGGGGACCTGCTTCAGCTGCCGTGGGAGGGCCCCCCCCCCGGCCCGGGATTGTTTTGGGGTCCCCCCTCAGCTGGCGGGGGGGTGTTTCGTGCCAGGGTGGGGGGGTGGGTTGTCGCATTCAGACATTACAAGCCAGAGCCCTCCCTGCCCGGGCCCTGTCCCCCTCCCCTTTTGTGGGGCTTTTAGCACGTCTATTTTTGTACTACAATTCTCGGGGAGGTCTTGTGTGTCCAAACCCAAAAGAAAATGTTCCAACAAAGTCTCAGGGTTCAGCGCTGGGGGTTTATTTTGGATGGATTCTGTGGGGGCTTGTACAGGGTTGAGCCGGAGGGAGTGTTTTTGGGGGTGTCTCCCCCCATTAAACCACGTGGTCGGCGCTGGGGTGGAGGAGCCACCGGTCCTCGGGGTCCCCGTCTCCCGGGGGAATCTCGGGGGGGCCGCCCCCCACCCCAGAGCTGCTCTCGGGGTGCAGCGGGGAGGGGCGGGGCGGGTGAGGGGTGGTGTAGGGGGTCCCCCAGCGGGTCCCCAATGTCCTCCGGGTGCTGGAACTGCATCTCCTCCTTGGCCAGTCTGCGGTGTGTGTGGGGGGGAGGAGGTCACCTCAAAACCCCCTGAAGCCCCCCTTGGGGTCACCCCAAAAATCATCTGGGTTCACTCCAACCCCCACCCCCGCAATCCCCTTCGGATCATTCAAAAATCCCCCAGACTCTTCCTCCCCCGCCGACACCTGGGTTTGCCCCAAAACTGCCCCCAAACCATCTCCGGGTTCACCCCAAAACCTCGCCGGGGTCACCCGAACCCCCCCCCCTCGGCACTTGAGGTCAACCCAAAACGCCCCCAACCCGTCCCCGACTATCGGGGGTCACCCCAACCTTTCCCGCGGGCCCTATCCGGAGGAGGAGGTCCGGGGAGCGGGGTTGGAGGGGGAAGGAAGAGAAGGGACAAAAGAAAAGGTAAAGGATAAAAATAACAAAAAGGAGACGTGGGAGCCCGAGGCCCCCGCGCCGACCCCGGGGTGCTGCTGCCCCTCCGCGCACTGCCCCAGCGTAAGGCGGCGGGGCCGGATCCCGGGGCTGGAACACCCTTGGCCCCGCCCCGCTCACCTGTGCGGGCCCCGCCCCGCTCACCTGTGCGGGCCCCGCCCCGGCCCCGCCGCTCACACCCGGCCGAGCCGCGTCCGCCCCGCGGCTGCGGAGGACGCTCGTCCCGGGTCGCGGCGGGACTGATCGGCGCTCGGGGCTGGAGCCCCGGCCCAGGGGCTGCTCCCGGCGCTGCGCCGAGCCCGAGCCGCCGAGTGGGGACGGGACCGGTTCCTGCCGGGGGACGCTGCGAGTACCCGGGCCGGAGCACGGAGGCGGGATAGGGGCTGAGACCGGGATTGGGGCCGCTCCGGGCCGGGACTGCGCCGGGGCCCGGGTCCAGGAGAGCGGCGGCGCTTTCCTCGTGCGGACGCTGAGCCGGGGCTGGGACCGGCCGGGGCGCGGGGACCCCCCGGGCCGGCCCCGGGACCCCCGAGCCCGCCGGTCCCGGGGACACGGTGGACACGGCGCGGCGGCGCCGATCACGGCGACCCCCGGTGGGCGGGGGCGGAACTGCAGCCCCCGCTCAGAGCACCTCCCGGGAGAATATCGCCCGCCTCCCCCTTCCCCGTGGCACCCTGAGATGCTTCACCCCGCACAGACACAGCTGGAACTGCAGAAGCCATGGTAAGCTTTAACAGGTGGGTCAGACCCGAGGTGCCCTGAAGGCAGGGATGTGCATCCCTTTCCTCAGGGAAAAAAACTTCCAGAGGCCACTCCTGGGGCTCTGAAGTGACAGCGGCTTCCTGCACGGAGAGACGTCCTCGCCTGTGCTCAGGTGCTGCCTCACCACGTGCCGGGAGCGCGTCCCACCACCACCTTCTCCTGGGTGAACACATCCCCTGGAGCCCAACCCCAGGGGGGTGAAAATCAGCTGAATTCCAGGGAACTTGGTCAATTCCCCCACAGGGACATCAGCGGGGCTGGGGGAGGAGGGTTATAAACAACAAATTCTATGGGATATCAACCTGTCCTGTCCTGATCCCACTGAGCTTCCCTGGAACGTTGGCTGGTTCCTGACAAACCTGGCGTTAAAGCGGCAGCTCTGCAGGGGAATATCTGGGCTCCATAAGGCACTGTGAGGCTGTTCCAGCAGGAATTCACCACTGAAGAAGCCAAGAGCCAAAAGCAAATCCCAAGCTGGTGGCCAGGCTGGTGGGCAGCAGTTGGATCCGCTCTGGGGGAAAACACCCTGCGCCTGCCAGGAGCTCTGATTCTGTTTTTCCTGCCAGCTCCTGATCAGTGTCAGGGCCACAGTGAGGGATTCAAAATCCAAATAAACCTCAAAACCTACAGCATGAGTAATCCAAAGGAAGAAACTCACTGTTGTCATAAGAAGCTTAAAAATCAGTTAAAAATTCTACGACAACAATACTGGGATTCCCTGGCACCTTATTAATGCTCTTGGTTCCATTTTAA